AGTGAACATCAGAAAAAACATGTCACCATATTAACATGATAACTTGTTGACACGTCTACACTGATGTTAACTTGAGTTGACATCATTGTTGACAAGTGATGTTAACAGGCCAGTCGTTAACATAACGTGTCATGATGAAGTGGGAGCGTCATCACGTTAGCTACAATACAGTCGAGCGTCTCCTTTCGGGTACGCCTAACTTTTGCGAACACTATCTAGTGCGGACAACGGACAATAAATCGCGGCACCGGAGAGCAAATTGATATCAACTTAGGCTCTTTATTACGGACAAGCCACTGATACTTTCGTGTTCAATACAATTTACTGTGTAGTTTAGATCAAACTTAATCAATTGTTCATTTTGTTGCATTATGAAAGCGGAATATCTGTGATTCGAGACTTCTGAAAAAAAAAAACTGAAAAAACTTCCGAGCCTTCTTTTGGTTAGGCAACGTTCACTTTATCTAAACTACTCGATATCCAAACGCCAAACGTCGTTACGTTCATACAAAAATAGATAGTTTTGAAGACGTTTATATTCCCATACATATTTAACTTAACATTTCTAACTTTTAAAAAGTTCCGAGAAAGGATTTGTACATAGATACGTTTTGTTGGAAATATATAATATGCTATGTTTGTCTGCCGTATAATATGACATCGGATACCGTTTCCAGAGTCGAAGCGAGACATTTTCTCACTCTTCCAGTACCTTTAAGCCCTCGGCCAATCCTCCCTTGGATGGATGTGCGCAGCCAAGCATTTTCCTGTCACTGTCGAGGGTGACAGCCACCCCAGTTCCCGCTACTTCTTCTGCCGTCTGTGGGTCCACTTCTGTCAATTGCTGTCCAATTTCATTCATATCTTGCAAGACATTTTCGTCGATAGTATATTTTTCCACCTGAATGTCCTGCTGGAAAGAATGAGGGCTTGCAGCGAGGAATGTTGGAGCTTCCAGGGCCGCTTTAGGGTTCATTCCACTGTCTAAGATATTCGTTAAGTACTGTGGGATAACAAGTGGATGGGAAGGACCGTTGCATGCAAGAGCCAATACTGGCACCAAGCCGGCACGGAACATTAACTCGTCTACATCATTCATCATAGTGCCCGACTTCCAAGCGTCAGGAATTCCCAGATGTGGAAATTCTTTGGACTCGTCTTTATCGATGGCTTCCTCTTTTTGTCGTTCTTCTCCTTCCGTTGGTTCTTCTGTTTCTATGGTTTCCTCTTCAAATTCATTTTCATTTTCTTCCTCTTCCTCTCTTTCTTGTTTTTCATTCGAAGGAATGGTGTTGACATCAGGGTGTTCCGCTTCGGGTGGTTGATTGCGGGTTGTCTTCAGGGGAAATGGATCAGTAGGGTGCAGTTCTTCAACTTCTTCAAGCGTCTCCGTAGGTGGCATGGATTGTTCACGGTGAATTGATAACTTCTTTGTGGTTTTAGTCTCCTGGAGCATCTCTGTCCTTTCTCTTCTTTGGGTCCGTCGAGAAAATGTCAATTCTCCTGGAAAATCAGATAGACCGTAATCCGGGTGTTCCTTTTCTGCAAGCTCGGCAAGTTTTTTCAAGTGTTCAAGCTGGCGGTGTTCTTTTTGCTTTTCTTGCTCATATGCCTGTGCGCGCGATTCATCTAACAGTTCCGATCTGACCCTGTTCTGCGTTCGGAGAACCACCAATTTTTGAGGTACTTCCATCCTGGTGTATCCATGATTTGAAAATCCTTTCTTCTTGACCGAAAGCCGGTTTTTGTCCTTTTTTGCAATAGAGACGTCCCGTCTGAATCTGCGACCGAATCCATCAAATTCTCGAGGTTCTTCTTTGAAGATAATTACAGGTTGGAGCCCTGATGGTACTCGTTTGCCACTTTTGGTCTCTGTTATTAAGGATTTCAAAGCGATTCCAGCACCTGGAAGACTTACTCCCTGCACGAAAAGGCTTGTTCCCCAAATTCCGCTGTTTGTGCCATGCACCAAGGAGCACATGTTTCCAGCACTATCCACTGCGACTACGCCAGACGAGCTGTGCAAATGTTGTTCCATGTCCATCTCAACACTTGCCAACATCTCTCGCATGATTTCGTTTACGTCTCTCATCTTCTCTGGAGAGGCAATTTTGTCCCACAGCTCCTCTGCAGCGTCCTTTGTTTTCCGATACGAGTTGTCAGCATCCACGCCAAGTTGCTCCTTGAGAAGCTGCTTTCCATCTGGGACAGCGTGCGTGAAAAACGAAATGAAAGAACTAAGACGTGTTATGGAAGCGAGCCAGAAAAGCTTTGTGGCATTTGTCAAGTAAGAGTCAGTGGATTCCCCGATTCCCGCCAATTCCATCAAGTTTAACTTCTCCACCAGTTCAGCACCACCCCATTCCCCACCTGACGTCAACACGTGATACCTCTGGTATAAGGTACTGGCGGGTTCGGGTGACGTCACATGATACTCAGTCATGTCTTCCATTGTGACGTATCCTTCATGGCTTTGAATAGTCTCAACCATGTCCTCGGCCCAGTGACCACGGTAGAAATAGTCCTTTCCGTATTTGGAGAGACGTTTGAGGAATTTTCCTAATTTAGGTTGCCTGAATCGCTCTCCAACTTTGTAGAGTTTCCTTGTTTTGGGGTTGGTGAAAATCTGCTTTCCTATGAACAAAGATATTAAAACAGGTACATACTAAAGCTTTGAAGGTCGAACGGATTTATGAACAAAATGAGGGGAAATCCTTGACCGAAGGACTCTTGCCAAGTATTTAATTACAATTTACACTAACTGTATGAAAAAGGGTCCATCCAAATTGGGGAGGATTATAAATGGCAATTGCAAAACCTTGGTGATCCTCAATTGATGAGTTCCTTGAACTTGTCAGCTGCCAGTTTCTTTGGTGAAATATAGACATAATTTACCCGTTCTCCCTTTTTCTCGCTTAAAATTGGAGCCATTTTAGCGTTTCACATATAGACACACTGGTTTTCGATCAATTTGGATAAGTGAAGCAGAAATGAACATTTTATAGTGCGCTTTAATGTTTCAGAATTTTGTCAACTGACATGCAGTTCAAACTCTGAGGGCGTACTTGTTAGAAATGAGGTTGAATGGCCAGAAGAGGATTCAGTCCGTCACTTCCAGTCTTAGTCTTATAAGACCTCCAAATGCTTCGGGAAACTTAATAGTATGTAATCTCGAGGAGTGTTCTATATTCTTATCTGGTATAGCCGATAACCAAAACTGAGCTGTTCCAGTACAAGTAAAAAACGTCAACCATACCTTCCTTAGTGCGAAGAAGGCCTCTCGGGTTATAGTGTTTTCTTATATTTTCCGCTAAATCAGGTGGAAGTTTAAATCCTTTCATGGCAAAGTATTGCGCGGGCTCCAGCAGCTTTGAAAAGGGTAGCAAGCCATACTTCTCTGAAGCCATAGATACTCCTGCTATGAACCCTGGGACTAGCACTGTGGCCCCATTGCCAAGTTCTGAGTGATGTTCAGGGATCTGGGCCGGGTCTATATAGTAGGGCTTGTTCCAGCCAGCGTCCAAGTTGTAGGTGTCCCCAGTAGAACTGTCATAGTACAAAATGTTGGCTGCTCCTGCATATGACACGTGAGAACCAGCTGCCAGGACTATCTCTGTAAGACCAAAAAATATATGTTGAAAGAAGTCAGAAGAACCTCTGGGTATCTCGTGGAATCATGAGGTCGTGTTACGTCTGCGTCGTTTGGACATTGTTACAGCACAAGGAAGAGCAAGCACCAGTCATAAGTAAAAAAACGTATGCAATATAAACTTAGACTTAACTTTGAATTGCACCTCGAATTGCGGAAATTTTCCGTTCTTAGCTTTAACTCGAATAAACTTGTCCTCGAAATTAGAGTTCCCTTTAAAACCAAATGACGTCCTGGAGTTGGACTATTTTGAACGCTCGGTTATCAGTTTGCTTTGGTTTGTTTCTTTGCATGTAAAATAATTAAGGTCAACTGAGTGCCCTTTAAATCAAAACAGACGGAGGAGATCATTTTGGTCCTGATTACATAAGCTGGCTGACTTGCTTGGCCGAGTTCCCAGCACATGCACGTCTGTTGAACACGGGGACAATGGTTGTTAGCGATTACATTCAAGGCTAGACTAGGGTGCATTCGTATATTGCTCAAAAATTACATCACCTGGCTACCCTAGGCCTATATCTATTGGTAATACGCGCATGTCAAATAGAAAATCACAACATTTTACGCTTATAAGTTGGAAAGGTTACACCTGCATATTTGTTCAAATTTTAGTCTTAAGAATTCCATTTAATGTATGTGTCAGAGTTTATCTAAAATACGAAATTTATCAATAGCGAGTGATAAAAAACCACCCGTCTTAGTTTCAGATAAAATTCAGCCTTGCATGGATCATGGATCCACCTGTTTTGGTATATCATCTGAACTTGCGTTCCTCGATGCCTTAGAAGATAGCTGCAATACTCAGTCTGGTAAGAGTGCTTCACATGAATCGAAGGCTTTGGCAAAGTTTGCAGCCACTAGCAGCTGTTACTGGTTGAAACGCCGGCAGTCCATGCAGTTTCCCTGTGTCCTATGCATAATCCTTCTCGAAATCTTCACACTCATCCTGGGTGGCAGACAAGGCTCCAGTGCATAGAAATCAAAACCGACAATTTAGTAGGGTTTTGGTAATTTGAAGAATGTAAAGTGGAAAGTAAAACGCTCTCGAAATCTGTTCCTGAACAACTGAACAACCTATTGTTGTTCAAGTAGTAATATCCACGACGGAAATTTTCTCAATATCTCATTGCAGGAAATACTCGCCCGTTTTATGAAGTACAACTCTTAGCTGTTATCTGGCATAGTAAAAAGCATTCATCTGACAAGTGACAAACCTGATTTCGCTTCTGTCTCCAATATTTTTGTTGTGTGTTGTCCTTGTTGGTGTTTTTGGAGGATTTTGATGGCTTTACGAGATCGTGTTTTGTGCCAGTATAATTTGGAACGATAACAGTTGTTTTAACTGTTATAGTTAGCTTAAAAGCTGTCGAGTACATCGACACTTACGTTTTAATTAGAAAATCTGTGCTGTAATCTAGACCTTCTTTAATTACATCCAAGGTTTCCTAGGCGGAGATTTCTTTAGCATTTTTTGAAGGTTTTTGTCTCGGTCTTAGTCCACAAATATCGCACGATTGACGCTTAAAATCATTGTGGAGAACAAAAAGAAAAGCCTTTACATCCCATAACCATTATTTCCAAAATTGAACAACCCATGTTCCTACAATGTACTACAATACTAATACAATGTCCCTGAAACTGTACTCTCTACCCAAATGGGAACATACAGTAGTTTGAACCCTTGCTTATGTAACTATTCAACAGTATTTGCGTGCTACAGCGTAGTAACCAGGCACTTCGATAAGTTTACCGACAAACTGTTTTCCAAAACAGTATTTTCAGACCTGTCATCGACAAATTGTATGTCTCTTTATTTAGTGGAAGAAATTGAACGATCAAAACAAGATCTCATAGAAATCTCTCTTTTTTACACATTTAAGTCTTCTTAATGGACTAAAAAGAAACCTCGATGGCATTCCGCATACAAGAATCAAAGATCGATCAGTGATTTCGCTCTTTTTGATCTGTTTTAAATCTAACTGATAACTATAATTGTTTCGTGATTAGCAAGAATGCGTCATCAAATCGAAGTGGCCGGGGAAGCAATATCACAGATAAGCATGGAACCTGTAATGTCATATCATTAGAAATCACTTTTCGTACGCTTCTTGACAGAGTAACCGGAAATAGAATAAAATCGCATCAAGAAGTTGTCAGAACAAGCTTAAGAATTTGTGTTCCTTGTACAAAACTGATTTTTTTTTTTTTTACTAGCCAATCTGTTATGAAAAACAAACGGCTGAAAACTTCATGGAGATGATTTTTCAGGGTCAGTTGAGTGCTTTTACGCCGTTCAAATTTGTATAGTGTGTTTTAAAGACAAATTTAACGTACCTTTATCATTACCGAATAAGTCGTTGTTCTCAAAGTTTTGCGTGACTGAGAAATGATATAACGAGGGTACTGACCGCCTCACGCTGTGCCATTCCCAAAGAAAAGACACGGGTTCATGAGCCAAAGTTCGACATTATTCTTAAAACAAGATAAATCCATCATCATTGACAAACAATACTATCAAAACATTCAGGTGGCTTCCCGGGGGGCATTAAATGCTTTAAGGTAACTTCCGTTCTCCACTAACGAACTGACGCATTCTCTGGGTCCCACAGAAAACCTGAAAACGATACCGACCATATGCAAGACGATTAAGAGAAATAAGAGAAATAGCTAAGACTAAAGGTATTTCACTGTAAAGACAACAATGCGAAGCCTCTTTCTTGCCGTTAAGAAAACAGTAGTTATCACGCAAGCCCGGGATGATGAAAGATTCTGGAACCATTTTGTACCATGTTGCAGAATGATGGCATGACTAATGAACGAGACATCTGTTAAAAGGTTGCCCCACGTTGTTAGGATCGGTGGAAAATCAATGTATCACCGAAACGTTTTCACAAACGATCTGTGAACGAGCATGAACGAATTGTGCTGCATAAACTGAAGAATTCTTGATCTTCTATCTGGTCGGCTCATTACAAAAAACACGAGAACTCAGATTATTCGATCACTTCGTCTAGCCTGTTTTCCGGATAAGAAGACACGATACCTTAAAGAGGGTGATCCTAGAGAGAATTCAACAACTATATTCTCCTGATAGAACCATTTCTTGGTCAAGGGGACATACGTCAGTTATGAGAATGTAGTTAAACATCAACATGACTAGGTAGAACAGTGTCTTGACAAACCACAATATTCTCAAAGACTGCATAAAACGAAATGCATGGCTTTCGGTAAGGCGATTTCAAATTTCGATCATGGCACTTTTGGAATGAGTCGGGTTAAGCACGCCCAAGTACAACGGTATTGTATAACTAGCGCAAAGCACAGAAACTGATAACTGATCGCAATTATATAATATGCCAACAAAAACGTGCCTTTGGTTGAAAACCGCCGCAGGGTGGGCCGAAAAGGTTGTAATAAAATCTTGCGATGTCTGCTAAGTTATAATTACCCAATGCCTCGGAAATCACGACAACGCTTGTGTTGGCATGTCAGACAGTTCCTTCGTCAATGTTTTTTCTAATATCGAAAAAGAAGCAATATTTACTTAAATGATACGCTTGTATATCTTATGGTGCATTCCAATGTGTTCTCAGAAACTTAAGAGAAAAAATACTCAAATGTTTCAAAGTTTGCCAATGAAAAACACGTAAACTTGGCATTGATACTCTTTTTTTTTCATTTTTCTAAGTCGAATATCTCATGCGATTTGCGTCGTGCTGTGTTAAAGTGGTAGAGTGTATCTATTTGCGACCGTGAAAAGAACAAAGAACAAAAAGTATCGAAGTCTGTTCAGATTTGAAAGACGCGGCAGTCTGCTTAGAGAAGAGGTGATTTATCACTAAGGTTAGCATGAAATTGTATGTTAGAAAGTTTATAACTGATCTTGATTAAAAAGTAAAATGGGAAACTAAACATGCTTTTGACCCATATCCACTTGTCTGCAATTTTAAGCCGTCGATCAACTCTGTCAAATTCTTATCTAAAATATTTCTCAAATTCAACAACTCTGTTTTGCTAATCGAGAGATCAAAACATGAAACGGCAGACACTGCAGTCTTTAAATGTTCCTGATCACGAACTCTGTCAAACGACGACAATTTGTCTCACTATGTGAGTGAAAAATTGAAGACAGATGGAATAGCAACTAGCCCTAACACAGACAAAAAGTACTGATGATCTAGTCCAGGGGATCGAGCAGCTGAGAACAATCCCTATAAGAGCATGTCTGAAGATGACGAAGAAATGTTTTCTAGTTTAAAACTTTGTTTTAAACTCTATCTTCGAAGAAAACCAGATTACAAATCTCGAAATCTTTTTAGCGTTACCGCTCTTCCAGTTTAATTGAATAGACGGAAACCTCAACTGATTATCCGTAATCGTAGCAGGAAACGAATTTTTCTAAAGGACGTAAAGTACGTGATTGAAGTAAGGAACTTTAAACTGGAGACAGGTCTTAACAGTTTTACTGTTTAGAAGTGCTTCGTCGATCCGCGAACAGACTTCGTACCTGTAAGAGCCGTTGTTAGGCATGCATCCATTGCATTGCCTCCTTTCTTTAGCGCCTCTGTGCCCGCATGTACAGCCAGCGAACTACTGGCTCCCGCCACCATGCCTTTCCCATCGCTGAACGCTAGTGGTTTGGGACGCCGTTGCGCGCTCTGAAAAGAAAGCGCTTCTAACCTCTGAAGATCTCGTGGGAACCATGTTTTAGGAGAGAATGAGACAGCGTCGGGGTGGAGAAATGCGAACGCTCCACACACCAAGGACAAGAAAACCAAGGCCACAAGAATCAGCCGATTCATGGCGTTGAACCGTACGCGCCCTTGGGTTCCCAAAAGATAATCAAAACACGCAACAATGATGTTTGGTTTTATATCAAAAAGAGGTAATTTAATAGTTCTTGATTGTTTCTCTGCCTTACGGAAACTTAATAGCACTGGAATGTGACACTTCGCCAAGTTAAAATTACATAACTCTATATTGATGTTTCAGTTGGAGATTGCGCGCGCGCGAACTTCCGAGATCAGAAAGATTGAACGACACGGCATGCCACAAAGCCGCTTGATCAGATTTCAATTAATAATGGCTTGTTTAATAAGAGCAAATTAACCTGGAGAGATCGACGAATCATCTGGAGTATTTGAAATTTTTCGCATGTCAGGTTTTGACAGTGAGCAAACAACAACTTGAGCTCATTTTACATGTTCTGCTTGCGCTCGTGAAATCCATGATACACGAGGCACTGTTTCGTTGAAGAGACACTTCCAAGTATTTATGAAGCATGCTCGTCGTTAGCATTTGTTTTTAACGGTGGCTGAGAACGGAATGTGATGGTTGTACGTGATATGCCGCCGACGGAAAGTAAAGACATGGATGATTCTCGCGAACAAATTAACGGCTTTCTTCCCGCGGGAGTCGCTGAAGTCCCGAAAGATGAACTGCAACGATATCTGAAATGCAAGCGTATTGGAAACTACCTTCTCGGCAAAACCATCGGCGAAGGATCGTTTGCCAGAGTAAAGCAAGGATTTCACGTGTTGACTGGAGAAAAGGTAGGAAATTAGGACGTCAGCAACATAATTTATCCACGACCTTAAGTCTAAACTAAGCTTGTGTTGCCGTAAACTTGCGATTATCGGTATACACGTCTCGCTTTGTAATAGCCTGCAATCGCAACAATAGCAGGCTCCAACAAGACCGCAAATTTCATTAGTCGAACATGATGTACCTTTTAAGGTTAATTGCTGTGTTTTCATTCGGCTGCCTGTTGAAAATCAAACGAAGCTCTTCAAATTTGGCAGCGAAACCCTGACGCAAAGCTGGCAAACAAACGAGGATTACTTTGTAAAGTGTCGCCTACATTAATTAGATAAAGGATTTAAAGGTATTAGTAGTAAGCCATTTTTTTAGTGACCATTTTCATGCGTGCTTTTAAATCGGGCTTTCATGTAGGTACGATACGTTGGTCGGCGAGAATATTTGTACGCAAGACTCGAGAGTGTATTAGAAAACGAAGTGAGTGTTTGACCTTATGCAAATTTATCAAATGATTGGATTGATCTGTGCCTAGTCTCGCATGCCCTCAGTCAGTTGTTTACAGCTTTTGGCAATGTTTTTCTTCACCTAAAAGAAAAGCACAAAAATTGCGTTTTGTTTTGGTTGCAAATTTTGAAATCCATCCTATGAATTTTACAGTCAGTGGATTTATAATTCACCGCAAGACCCATATGAGGTCCAATAACACCGGCGTGTTTTTATGCTGATGTCTCACACCAAGTTACCAGTCTTTTTTATTTTGTGTTCTCCGCTTTTTTGGCATACATTAGTACAGTTGAAACCTGTAAAAACACCCGTGGAAATTAATTAATTTAGTGCCTCTGTGGAACAGACACGGCAGAATCATGACAGGAATATTAGGAATTTCACACTCTGTAATGAAGTAATTTTTTAGAGGGAAAAGAAAAAACTCATCCTTCATCGCCTTTTATGATATTGCACATTGCTGCGACAACAACATGTCTTAGCCAAGTAGCTATATTTACGGTTTACTTTTCTCACGCTCCAATCATGTTTTATCGTTTCCGTTTTAACGTTTCGCTAGCTTTGCGGATCTTTCACCAAACGAAAGACATAATCTGTCTTGTGTACATAGACAAGGCACGAAAACAAACTTGTGTTGCGATTTAGTAAAGCCGTTAGCGCCGACATAAGCGTGGTGGTTTGTTACATCTAGTGCTCAAAATATTGCTGTTTTATTGATTTGAGCAGTATAAGGTATCAATTAGACCTCAATAATGGTTTATATTGGTTCATTTATGCCCGGCAAAGAAAGATACACTTGTAAGAGAAAAGAAAATTTAAATTAATGAATGATTATTAAATATTGAATGCCACTGGTGCTCGAAATGTTAATTTCCCATGTCAAATTTTCCGTATTGGACCGTATTTCTCTAAATTTCAAGATATCACTCAAGGAATTTTATCTCTTCGGTAGATAATCGCTAAATAATTGATCAGAATTGATGCAGCGAACTGACATCATGTGGTGAGAAAAACTGTTACATGCTTGAAAATGTGTGGTGTGCAAATACACTTTTAGCGTTCTGTGGACTATATTTTGAATTGTATGCTGCAATTGACCTCTGAACTGATTTGAGTATAGCTCAAGAAAAAGTCCATATGGCTGGAAAGATTAGCAAGATGTCGCGTGGATTATGACGTTTTCTGTGTTTCGAGCTCCATACGGAAAATTAAGCTCTAAGGAATGTGACGCTGTCAAGCTGTGCGTATGCAGAAAATTCCTCCCCCAAGCAAGGGGTGATATAAGTTTCTACACTGGAGATAAAGTTTGTATTAAGTACGTACAACAATGTATAGAAATCCCGTCATTTCCAGAGTTCTAAGGGACAGTTGGATTGATGAGATGAGCGAAATTAAAAAAAATATAAGATTTTGTTAATTTGTTTTAGGTCTCTCAGGGGATTTATATTTACTATTTTAAAAATACTTCAGCTCGCTCAAAATAAAGACTATAACACGAATTTTAAGCAACTGATTTACACACTTTCAGAGCATTTCCTTGAGAGGATTATAAAAAAAAAAGAAAAAGAAAAAGAAAAAAAATATGCCACGATGGAAGCATTATGAACAACTAATTTATTGTCCTATTCTAAAATCCTTTAGAACAATATGCCCTCTGAAGATAAGCTAGATGGTGTTGATTTTACAATGCTTTGCTAATAATGTCTTATAGTATAAATCCGATTCTTCAATTCTTTTCACTTTCGTTTCCCGGCCATAAAACAGCTAAACATGAGCTGCATGGAGGGCGTGGATATGAGCGAAACTGAAAACCTTATTATTTGGCATTAAAAAAAAGAAACTAAAGCGATTTTTTTTCAATTGAACATTACGTAATGACAAGACTGTCGAAGGTGAATGACAACTTGAAAGGGTATTTGTTGCAGTCGGGATTCTTGGCGCACCTGAGTCTACAATTCAAAATTTGTTTCCAAAAGCTGTTAGCAATTCAGGACCAGATGTGTGTCACCGTCACGCTGTTACCATTGTTTGTGAGCTTTACAGATTGAATTCATTTTGGATTAGTTATAGACTGTGCTTTCTATACCTTGCCAAATCACAAAATGGTGACCTATTCCAACCGCGAACACGCCGTCTATGGTAGTACTCAAACTCAACATGTATTACTTTGGCGCGCGCGCGGACCTGCTCATTTTCATTGCTCGCGCGCACGTTCCACGAGACTACTCTTGAGGCTTTTTTCAAATGGAAAAACTGGCTAAAGTTTTGACGTATTGATTCTAAACGTTGTACCAATGTTAAACTGTCCGGAAACTATATTGACACTATTCGATGTAACTCACTTGCAACTGGCACGAAAAATGGTAAGCAAAGCCACTGGGCCGTTGTTGGGGTTTGTCGACTTTAGTCTCACTTTGCGTGCTCGATCAACTATTCGTCTTCCCGGGACAGAGGATAAAAAAGTGAGTCCGTTAGTGACGTTCTTGGTTGAATTTCTGTAGATTAAAGAACATGGGTAAACAAAAGCAAAGCAGAGGGGAGGGGAGGGGAGGAAAAACAATTCATCATTTCTGAGTGCGTTCTTTACGTTATTTGTAGCATTCGGTAGGCCAACGTATAATATTCCCAGTTAGTCAATCGGACGTCCAGAATTTGAACATTGAATGCCATCCAACTACAAGATTTTTTTAAAGTTCCAGTTGGATTACAAGTATTAATTAGATTGTGATTATTTCCAAGAGGATAGGTCATCAGAGGTAACTGCTCAATTCAGCTATATGTGTTAGCATCTGTCCCGTGTCTATTGTCGACTGCTAAAACTTTTTTCTCGCTGAAATTCTCGTCCCTTGAACTTCAAGTTCTCCCTCGAGTTACTGTGAGCATCCGTTTACGACCACAAATATTTTATCAAATTTGATTAATGAATGAAAATAAAAGTCGTGATTGTAGATTAAATATCTGAACTTATATTTCCTTCATTTCTTGCATTTTTCTTCTCCCCAACTGGGCTCTGAGAAATAAAGGAAACTCGTAAAATATCCGAGCGCATGCTTTGTTAAAGCGATACTTTTTGTTCCCAGTTGCCATTTTCCTAGCAAACCTCTCCTCTAAACAATCAACGAGCATGAAGACACGACTGATTATCTCAGTTATACAGAACTTCAGCAGTTGTGAAATAAGTCTAAGCAAAATTCAGACTTGAACTGGATTCCATGACTTCTGCGACACCCGAGTGCAGTGTTCTACCAGCTGCTCTACCAGCTCTAACAACTGCTTAAGTTGTGTGTATAACTGCGATGATCAGTTCAAATATTTGATATTTCATATATTCACTTTTATAATCCATCAAATATTTTCGCTCGCGCGCGATTGGTCTAAACACGTCACGTGACCGAGACAATTTTCAAAACTGCTCACGTTGCGAAAAAGATTTGAAGAATAATAAACACAATAGCCTCCATTTTGGGCGAAAATATGCTCGGATATTTGTCCTCGGACATTATCTGTTCCTCGA